TGTATGTATGTGTGTGTGGTGTGTGTGTATGCGCGCGTGTTTGTAGTTGAGTCGGATGAGATGTAATACCAGTGATAACTGTTCTACTGTGGGATATTGAGTATAGCCTCAGTACTAGAATAGCTAAGATTCAATAACCAAGTTGTGATTTTTTTCTTGCAGGTTTTCCGTAGTAGTGTAGCGATTTTTAGTTTAGATTGTATTTTTCTATATATGAAAGGTCCCATGAAGAGAAAGGACCTTCTACCAAACGATTTGTTGCATTTAACTGTTTGCCACTTAAGCAGTCGTTGAGATCGCGTCATAACTGCCTTACTAAGGCTATTTTTATGGAAACGTAATGCGACAGATAGAATATACAACTGCCTTACCCGGAGTATTTGAGTCTCTTGATACAAGAGATCAGTGCCATATCTGTATGGAAGACCGTGTGCGCACTTCAGTAACGCACGTTGTGCTCTTTCGGCCTTTAGTAGATACACCTTTGCAGCCGCATTGGATGATTTTCCCACTTTAAAAAAAAGGGGGAGCAAGTCCGGGATTCTTACCTCATTAAATCATTCAACACATCAAGTGGGCCATGTGATTTGATGCCACCGTCGTGTTATAAAAAAAATCCGGGAAGCTACCATCAGGACATCAGAACCTATAAGGGGTCCTAACCTCTCTAAATAGTTCGACGTTGAGGCAAAGAAAATAGAGTTGAAAACATATTATGCGTCACTGCATGGGTGCCCACTGAAAATCAGTGCAAGGTGACTTGTATGCCTGGCTTATACTGAGTGGGTGACCCTTTTAGCATAGGCATGTTGTCAGCGTCTCTCTTCGAATTCTTCTGTTTATATTTTTCAACTCTTATGTTTTTATTAATTCCACTGTCATACCTTTATTGTCTTTTTTATATTTCATTTATGCTGTATCGTGCCTGGTGCTGAATAAATGTTTTTTCTTTCTTTCTTTCTTTCTTTCTATTAAAATTAGGTAAGTATTTAGGAAAATTCTTTTAGGTCCAGGAGGTCCTTAGCCTATCATTGGTAGTCGATGATGGTGAGGTGGAAAATATTCGAATACTTTTGTACGAATTCTTCAAGGACCTCCTCCATTACACAACTAAATAAAAATGTCTCTGATCACTTATTTATGATAGTGTCCTTCTAAACAAGATTATTTCGCTTCAATACTATAAGGAAGGGATATCCTCTATCGGAAAGCTATTGACAAAGTAATCATGTATAGATGTTTATTTGATTCGATATACGTAAAGTTATTTCGGAGCAAGATCATCTGTTTTTATTGTTAAACTGCATCAAATATACTTAGAAAATTTGTTACATTTGTCATATATTTGTGATGTATGCTTTACTTGACGCATGTATACATATAAACCTTCCTGAAGAATACTCTATCTATTTAAAAAAACCGCATCAAAATCCGTTGCGTACTTTCAAAGACCTAAGCATCAAAAACGGCTCAGCCAATCTTATACTATTATATAAAGCGGAAAAGTTTGTTTTTTTGTTTGTTTGTTTGTTTGTACGCGCTAATCTCCGTAACTACAAGTCTGATTTGAATAATTATTTTTGTGTTGGATAGCGCATTTATCGAAGATGGCTATAGGCTATAAAACATCACGCTACGACCAATAAGAACTGAGCAGAGCGTGTGAAACCACGCGGAAGTAGCTAGCCTTAAGTTAATCGTCCACAAACATACATACATACATACCAGATCAAAGAAACCTCACTTTTTTTTAAATCGATTAATAATAAAATAGAATATATTTTATTCACTACACTACAAACATTTCAAATGATTAAAAAAGTTACTCAAAAATATTTATTTTTGTAGTTTATTTACTGTTATCTTTATCAGAGAGACTGTTCATCGTCATTGAAGAGGTTCCAAGTCCAATCAGTTCGGATATTTCCTCCCACGTATGAGCATCAATCATCAAGATCAAATCTGACTGTAAGTAGGCTGCTTCTACTGAAAAATAAAGAAATTATAATCATGTATCCAGGTACGTATTTATCTATATTATAATTATGTTATAGTTCCAGTTGTGATAGTATATAGTA